CAGGCATGATTCTGAAAACTTAGAATATTTTTCCAATAAAGTTACCCTTGATAGTTTAGAAGTATAGTAATAATTTCTACTGCATATTTTATTACAGTTCTTACAACTATGTTGCACCTCAAAGCTAAAGCTGAAAGACAAGTCCTAAACTCATATTTATTTAGTTAAGATATTTTTATAGGGGGCAAAAATGAGCAAAATTAGGCAGCTTTCTGCTTGTTCACAATTGTCTTACACTACAACCTACAAAGGACAGAATTCAAATGTGTCAAAGGATCACTTGTAAACATAGTGCCTGTCAACCTGGATTTGCAAAGAGCTGGGTGAAGGAATTTCTGTGTTCCCATTCTCCAGTAAGGATCTAGATTTTAGCATTTTGATGGGTGCACGAGAGTAACTGTACATATATATGGGAGACAAATTGAAAAGATGAAAAACTTTGGACTTCATGGAAACTCAGAGATCAAACCACAAGCCTTGACTTCCTGATGAAAAACTCAATTTTACAAAAAGTTGGAATAATCCAATACTTAAAAAACTACAAAACACGCCTTAACATGGAGTTAATTTTGCATGGGGATGAATGGTAGATTGTGTTTCCAGAGACCACATCACAGATCAAGGTCCCTGCTCTCAAGACTCCCAGTCTACCTGTCTATCTCACATTTGAAATGCTCATTAGGGCCCTTTGCTGAGGACGACAATTGAAAAAAAGTGTAAGCTGAAATATTAGCATATTATTTGAGTGAGATAACACTGTAAATAGTTAAAATCTTAGTTAAAATAAAATTTATTAGAACAGCTGCAGGTATGTTCAAAGGACCTTAAGGAATGGAACATTGGAAAGTGAGGTGTTGAAAGAAGACTTCAAGGTGAATGTGAGTGAGACACTGAAATGTGGGCTTAGACCAGGGGATAAGAGGTGTGTGTGTGTGTGTGTGTGTGTGTGTGTGTGTGTGTGTGTATACATGTGAACAGTGATGGGATCTTTGCCTACCCTGGCTGGTTTAAAGGGGTAGGGATGGGGCACACAAAAATGGTTAGACAAACCACTCTATGCAAAAGAAAAGCAATGGAAATCTACAGAAAATATGGGCACAGAGGAAGTGGGCTTGATTCGGTGGGTGTGCTACCTCTAAGAATGTGTGCTCTGGTGTAAAATTGCCTGTGTCTCAATCTTAAATGACCCTGGACAAGTTCCTTACCCAGCTGGACCTCAGCTCTCTCGTTGCTAAATCGGGATATTTATAATATCTTTTTTGTCTTGACAGTTGGATAAATAAACAAGTTCATATGTGTAAAGTGCTTTATACTGTTTGGCACAAGGTAAACACCCAGTAATTGTTTATTAAAAGAAAAAATTTATTTGCAGAATTTTATCACATGA